GTCTCAAATCCCTTTTGCCTTAATTAGGTACAAAGGAACAAATTTCATCTGATTTTATTTTATTTTTTTCTCTTATTTAAAAATCAACAGTTATTATGAAATATTTTACATTTGTAGATAATTGTAGGGGTTAATGTTGTGAACACTTACATGTCTATCAATCACATTAAATCATAAGAGTTTTGCCATCTTCACTGGAGATATTAAAAAAAATTAGAGTTGAGGGTACAGTATCCACCTCCCTAACTCTATTCCCTTGCCCCTGCTCCAGAAATAACTACCATCATGAACTTAATGCCTTTCATGTTGATGTTTTTTAAAATACTTTCTGTACAAATCTAAACCTCCATAAACGTTTAACAAATACTTGTGGATTTTGAAACTATGTATTATTATACTGTGTTTCCTTCTGCAACTCATTTTTTTCTTTCAACATTCTTTCTGAAGACTCTCTATGTTAATTATATGTGGCCCCAGTGCATTCAGTTTAATAGCTGCAGTTTTCCATTGTTGAATATGCTGCAGTCTATCTAGTCCCCTGTAATGGGCCATTGAATTTGTTTCTGAACTTTTGCTCTTGCACATAGTAGTATGAGGAACATTCTCATGAAGGTCTCCTTGTGCAAGCATGCAAGCTAAGTTTCCTAGGTATTACCAAGTTGCTCTATAATGCATAAGTACCAAACTCCTCTCTCCTCAGCAGTGAATGAGAAGTCCTAGTGCTATACTACTTCATCAACACCTGGTATTGTTTGACTTTAAAATATTTGCTGCTATAATGGGCATAAAATTGTATCTCATTGATATTTTAATTTGCCTTTTCCTTGTAACTTTAGGGATTTAACACCTTTCGTTAGTTTATTGGCTATCCAGATTTTCCCTTCTATGAATTGCTGCTCATATTCTTCACCCATTTTTAAAACTAGGCTTTCAATCTTTGTTTCCCATCAATTTGTTGGAATGCTCTGTGAATCCTGGGTACAAATTCTTTCCTGGTTGTGTGTCTTCTCCCAAACTGTGGCTTCATTTTTGTTGTTTCCAGAAGCTTTTACTTATTATATAACCAAATATAACAAAACGGATTTTACTTTGTGTCCTGTTTATGAAATTCTTTTCTGCTTTAAGTTCCTACCGATGTTTTTTTGTATTTTATTCTAAAAATTTCTACCTGTTATTGATTTTCATGTCCAGTGTGAGCTAGAGATCTAATTTTATTTTATTCCAAATGGATGCACAATGGTCTCAACACTACTGACAGGTTTATCCATTCTTCTCTTTGCAATGCCACTTTTATCCTAAACCCAGTATCACTCTGGTAGAATGTAAGATCTATGATGGCAAAGATCTTGGTCATTTTTGTTCACTGATGTATCCTAAACATCTAGGACAGTGCCTGGCACATAGTAGCTATTTAAATTTATTGGTAAATAAATGAATATTCAAATGGCATTTCTGGTGTAGAACTTAAGCAAGCATGATTTCTCAACAAAGGGACTTTAATTAGGGGATTTAAGGGTGTTTTAGTGTTTTCCTCTCTTCTTTCTGAGAGGCAGCCCAGCCCATGTCTCTGAAGGGTCTCAGATACTTTATAATACCTCATTTGAAAACAATAACCTCATGAATCTTTTGTAGTCAAAAGAAAAAATTGTTCCACTTCAGTAATAGATACCAGAGGAACTATTACATACACCATTAAATATAGGTATTATGTGATAACATTCAAGTGTGAATGGGAGGGGAGAAAGAAAGGATGAAATTTGATTGGTTGAGTATGTCAGGTGACTTTTACTCCCACCTCCTGTTTCATTTTTTAAGGAATGTAATTGATCATAATAATACAGGGGTTGTCTTGGAAGGGAGTGATTGGCAGGTGGGGAGGGAAGTGTAGGGTGATGAGTGTGCTCCATGGCAGAGTCACAATCCTATAGGTCACAGACATTGTCCTTTGGGATTTCATTCAGGTCTAGAACTGAAGGTTTTTTTGAGCTACACTCTACTGCTTATGATTTGATAAGGGCTTCTTTGACTGGTGTAAAATCATAGGGAGGAACAGAAAGCAATGATGGGTTCAGATAATGCCATTCATCGAGGAGAGTCAAAAAGAAAGTTTTGGCATAAATAACTTAAACAATAACTTCGGCTGGAAAGAGTTGCTTTCATTGAACATCTCTACCCTGTGAGATTACTGCTGTGATGTCTGAGAAATCAGCATCTCATGAGGAGTCTAATGCCTGCAGCATCATAATCTCAGTGGCATTTTGGGTTGGCCAGTAGAACCCTCCATTTCCCTGAGTTCACATAGACGTACATCCTCCATGTACACTGTGGCATAAAAGGAGGCACCTTATTACAAGGTGACCACACATGGTGATGCACCTGTTTGAGGGGCCACCTAGTAGGAAGAGGACAGATTGGGATGGATTATCCTGTTCCCAGGCAATCTGATCATGTTATAGTGTTAAAGTGTTCACAAGTTTTAAGTCAACAATGAGCGATTTATCTGTTGTAACAAATGACATCATTTGATCCCCTTATCAATTTTCTGAGGCCAGAACCTTCACTTATCACATGACATGAGAAGTGCAAGTTCCTCTGTGCTTGAGACTTCTTTAAATCTTCATACCATTCCAGGGTCATCTGGAGGAAGAGTCAGGTTTCTTGCCTCTCTCCATTCCTATCTACTCAGATGCTTCTTTCTTAGTACCCTTATTATGAATTATGTAAAGGTTTGTGTTTTATCTCCTCTGTTAGTAAATGAAGAGGTCTTTGAGAGTAAGGAGTTTGTGTTATTCACTCTTGTAGCTGTGGGCCTAGGACAATGTCTGGAGCTTCAAGGGAGCAGAGAGTGTGGGGTGAAATGAAATAGAATAGAAGCTTGCCTCGGTCTACTGAATCAGCTGGGCTACAGCAACTTTCTCATGATCCAGACTAGTGTTCTATCATTCATCAACTTCCTTTCACTTCAATTTGTATGTGTAGGGGTTTTTTTAATGTTTTTTTAAAATTGGGATATAGTTGATTTACAATGTTATGTTAGTTTCAGGTGTACAGCAAAGTGATTCAGTTATATATATATATATATATATATATATATGTATTCTTTTTCAGATTCTTTTCCATTGTAGATTATTACAAGAAAATGAAGTTAGTTCCCTGTGCTATACAGTAAGTCCTTGTTCTTTATCTATTTTATATATAGTAGTGTGTTTCTGTTAATCCCAAATTCCTAATTTATCACTCCCCCCCAACTTTTTCCCTTTGGTAACCATAAGTTTGTTTTCCATATCTGTGGGTTTATTTCTGTTTTGTAAATAATTTCATTTGTATCCTTTTTCAGACTCCACATATAAGTGATATCATATGATATTTGTCTTTGTCTGGTTTACCTCACTTTGTGTGTGTAATTTTTCATTTTTGTTTATCTGCTTCAGAATTTTGAATTTTTATAGAAATTGGTAGATTTAGGTATGTATGTCAGTTTTAAAGAGTGACAATTTATTGGGCCTCCCTGGTGGCGCAGGGGTTGAGAGTCTGCCTACCGATTCAGGGGACGTGGGTTCATGCCCCGGTCCGGGAGGATCCCACATGCCGCGGAGCGGCTGGGCCCGTGAGCCATGGCCGCTGAGCCTGCGTGTCCGGAGCCTGTGCTCCGCAACGGGAGAGGCCACAACAGTGAGATGCCTGCGTACCGCAAAAAAAAAAAAAAAGAAAAAAAGAGTGACAATTTATTTAAGGCTCTTTCTAGCTCTGGCCTGGTCTGAGTCATTGGCTAAGAGTAACAGGGCAATTTATAACATTAAAACAAATGTTAAATTACTAGTGATAATATCAGATGACATGGTGAAAGCTGTAAATTTACCAATATATCAGAACTTGTGACCAGAGATAAAACCCACCTTAACAACTTGAATTTTTATGTCCATCTCTCTTAGTGCATTTTTCTTTGATCAGTTTTCTAAAAGCAAAATGTCCAGGGATGAACTGTGTTGTGAAGCTGGTCATCAGAATTGGTAGAATTTGAGACCCTGACTCAGCAACATTTTACTGAGTCATTCACTGGGATGAGCACGAATAGTTTGGCTGAGTAATAATTTTTCTGACAGGCTGCTGGATATTAGACATATATTTGTGTATAGGATGCTGTAAAGGAAACAGTAAATATGAAGACATCTAATTCTTTTTTTGCTTATGTCATATTTTTGTTGATGGATAATATTTCTGGGAGAAAGGAGGTTTCTAGATAAGTAGTACCATTCTTTCAAACTGAAAAATATGAAATGTGTTAAGAGTTCCTAGGGACTTAACTGAATAATCAGTTCTAGGAGCTTTGTCTGTCTCTAAGATCCAAATTTGCTTCCTTGCAAGAGTGTATTAGTCCTTGGGGCCTACGGGAAGCACGTGTTGACAGCAGCTCTTAAATCAGTGTGCTGTTCTTTACTGCAGGCATTTTCACCTTGTAGAGACATCATAGTCATGCTGTTGTATACTTTTTCCCCTCATTGTAGATTACCTTTTCCAGGTGAATACAACTTGAAACCCTCAGATGATATAGCATCCCTGTGAGAAATTATGTAGCTAGTATAGAGACCTATTCCCAAACAGTTACCAAATAAAGCAGCCTTCAGAGGCTGCCATTATACTACTGTTAACACTCAGTCAGGTACTGCCATCCATATCATTTCCTAGGCAGGAAGCACATCATTTTAAGTGGCATACTGTCGCCCCTCATGTCAGATAGACTTTGGGTGTTGAGCCAAAAAGGTCTTATCTGCTATTTTAGCAGCAACTCATCTTTTCTATGCCAAACTGCTTTTAATGAGGGGACTGTGGTTAATATGCGCTTTCCCTCCTTTCTTTAGTATTTATAAAGCCAAGAACCCTGTAAAAGTTTGCTTTTGTGAGCACACATTGGGATACATATTTTGGTAAGTGCTGACACCTTTTTTTCTTCCAGAGGAATCAGCTGTCTCTTTTTTGCTTACCGTGCTACACTTTCATTTTTACTACTCTGGTCACTCTTTCAAAGGCTTCAGGGAAGTAAGTTAATGGTTCGGTGTGAATGGGAAGAGGAAGAAATATACAGAAATGTTTTCTGGGTTGTATTATTTATACATTTGTTGGTGGTATTTATTATCTTCGTAATATATGAAGAGTTTCAATATTTGAACTGTCATTCTGATATTTTATTCTAAGCACCAAGCTTAAATCAGAGTTCTGTGAAGAAGGAACACTTGAAAAAAACTCTCCAAAACAGAATGTTAAGGAGCCTAGCACTAATTCACTGACATGTATATTTCTGTATAAATCATAAAGTAAAAATCATAAAAGCTTAGCTCATTTGATCAAAATTGTATTTGTTTAATAGCAATTTCTTTTCTTTCAACATTCCCAGACAATTTACCCAATTAGTTACTTAAAAGACATAAATATTAATTTGGTCCCAAAGACTTGAGTCCTCACTAAGTGAATGATTTTGTTCATCTCTTTGGTAATTCAGAGTTATAATTCATTAATGTAGTAATCTGAGATGCTGCTTAGTACCTGTGAAACTTTCCCAGTATGGCAGACACTGCTGGTGCCCTCGTTTTGAAGAAAGTATGCACATTGTGGAAAGACACAATCATACAGAAGGCAAACAATAGAAAGAAGTAGGCCTTCTGAGCAACCTCATGTACAGGGTCAATGTGTTATGTGCTTTACTGTGTAGACATCTCATTTGATCCTCAAATGTCCTAAGCAAAGTGTTATTGTCCCCATTTTACAGATGAGGAAATTGAGGCTCAACAAAGGTAAATCATTGGCTGAAGAATAGGAAGATGAAAAGAAAAGAATTGTTTTTCTGATGCCATCATGCTTCCAGAACAAATTCCGTAAGTGGAGGGGGAGAACTGCTGTTCAAGAAACACACTATTTTGCATTTAGAAATCATTTCTGGTGATGTGATGGATGTCACTCCTTACTCCTCTGGATTTAAGTTGAGGGTTCCATAGGAAAGGAGGGAGGAAGAAGTTTTCACAAATATTTTCTAGGCTGTATTATTTATAAATCTGTTTATTGGCTTCATTATCTTCCCCATGTGTGGAGAGCTTCAATATCTCAGTTGTTAGTTTAAATTTTCTAGGGAAAAAGACACTTGAAACGATCCTCAATCTTAAACTAGGACTCTAGCCTTAAATAATTTAATATTCTCCTATAAAACAATTCATCCAAAACATGTCCTTTCAGCCTTTGTGTTTGATGATATGAGTTTCTTCAGTTTGTTAATTAATATGGCACACATTTTTGGTATGATTCCTCTGTCTTTCCAGCCTGATTATGCACTGAATCTTATTAAAATGAATCAGCATTTCTCTGAGCTGACATTAGGTCTGAAGGGTCCCAAGTAGAATTGGGCCTGGGTGATTAAATAGTACGTTAGATGCTATCTGGTCTCTTTATGCTTTTAATGCGTGTATTGACTTATCATCTGTACTGTCAATGACCTTCAGGACAAGAATGTAAAATGCACCAAGAAATTATGGTTCTTTGAGAAATAGTAAGTGAAGTAGTGACAGATGGATAATGAATAAATGGTAAATGCCAAGGGATCACTTTTGTTTTTTAAAAGAAGACTTTGAAGCATCCTTATTTTGTTGTAAACCAGAAAACTGTGACTGTGTCTTTTGTCTCCTAGGTATCTGTTAATCTTAACATGTTTGCAGTTACATCACATTTATTTTTAATAGGAACACTAAATAAAGATGATTAGTTTTAGCTGGAAGTTAAGACGAGCTTTTAAAATTTATAATTTTCAGATGTCAGATTCCCAAATCTCTTTCACATCCATTTACTTTTTCTAAATATGCTCATCCTCCTCCCCCTCCTCCAATCCAAATTTTAGAATCCAAATAGTTTTGAAATCTGTAGATAAGAAAACTAGGCTCTAAATCTGAATGCAAGCATGAGAACAGTGAAATTTTAAATGCAACTGATCTCTAAATTCAGTGCAGTGTCAGCAGGTAATATTATAGTAAGACTCTAACATATTGAATCTCTCTGCATTTCAGAGATTTAAACTCATGTCAGGACCTACTCTATTCATTTCAGGCTGTACACAAACCTAAGTCAACTTTGAATATGTTGTAATGTAATCCAATATAGGTAGAAGCTGCAGGAAATTTACAAAGAGAAAGGTAATGGTATACCTCCATGGACTTGGTTCTTTGCAGGTCATTTGGTAATTTTGTCTTCTCCAAATCTTCACAGTCATGCCTATTGGCGTCAACTTATCCACTCCCCGTGGGGATTCCAGGATCCCAAGGAACATGTCAAATGATCTCCAGAGTCAGGAATTAGAAGAAGAAAGATTAAATCTTTGTATAAGACACCTTACTAAAAATCTGTCATTGGTTATTGTTGTCTCTTTAATCTGACTCAGTATTTTTCGGAACATTTTATAAGTAATAGAGATTGTTTGACAACCTATTTGATTGAATGTTGTGTCAGAGGCATTTCTCTTAAAGCTTGGCATTAAGTTGGTATCCTATGATAGTGTATTAGTTTTAGCATAAGTATAATAATATTTGTGCATAGAAACTTCTGTGGGAAGGTAACCTTCAGAATGTCTAAGTATGGCTTGTTAACTGTTTTTTATAACTTTGGTTCACCTGTGTATTCATTCTAGTTTCTTGAATGTATATAAAAGGAAATCCCACAGTAATAGATTTGTATGCCATATACAAGTACAATGAGTAAGACCCACATGGCCTCACATTTTTGAGGTAGTCAGATACAACTCTGGATAGAATACTATTGAGCTGTATTATTGGAAAGGCATCAGAAACAGAAGTATCAGCTCATGCTTAAAGGAGTTTTCAATCTGGTGGATGAGGTAGAATATAAGTAGACGCGAGTTACTGGAACTTTATGGTTCACCCTGCAAACAAGTGGAGACCCAGTGCGCCAGGCTAAGGAGGCTCACAGTAAAGTGGTATTCAATAGTATTCCATTAAGAAAGGCTTCCTAGAGGTGGTAAACCTTTTTGAAATTTTTTTTAAAAAGCTTAAAAAACTAATACATGATTGCAGGTGCTCTGAAAGTTCAGATAATTCAGAATTACATACAGTACTGGATATAAATTTTCCTTCATAGCCTTCCTCCAACACACAATTCCATTAACTTATCTAAAGATAACTTCTGTTAGCATTTACCATGTAATGCCCTATTTATCTCTTCAGATATCTCTTTATCTATCATCTATGTTTGTATGATATACCATATACATTATTTTGAATCTTGCTTTTAACTTGTCAGTATGTATTAGAGATCTTCTCATGTTAGCATATACATATGTGTGTCTTATCCTTTTGAAAATTTTTACATAGCATGGATGTATCATAATTTAAACTTTCATTTACTGATACATGTTTTTTCTGTCACAAACAGAACTGCAATGAAAATCCTTATAGATAATTCATTCATTTATTTACCCAATATTTATTATGATTACTACATGTCAGATATTGCCTTAGGTGTGGCAAAAATGAACACAAAATAAACAATAATAAAAATATATAGTTCCTGCCAGATTTGGAACCAGGATGAGGTGAGTGAGCCACTTACTTTAGGCACAAAATTTAAGACAATACCAAAAAGCTCAGTAATCAGGATAAATAATATTTTAATATAATTTTTAAAAAATAAAAATTAATTTAAAAATTCCATGATGAATAAAATATGAAATTTTTTTTTTTTTTTTGCGGTACGCGGGCCTCTCACTGTTGTGGCCTCTCCCGTTGCGGAGCACAGGCTCTGGATACGCAGGCTCAGTGGCCATGGCTCACGGGCCCAGCCGCTCCGCGGCATGTGGCATCTTCCCGGACCGGGGCACAAACCCGTGTCCCCTGCATCGGCAGGCAGACTCTCAACCACTGCGCCACCAGGGAAGCCCAAAATATGAACATTTTAAGCAAAAGCAGACATAACTAAGACTGTGCTTAGCTTACAGTCTAGTTATGGAGATAGTAATAATCACAAAATTATTATTATTACTGTTATTTACAAATTGTGATAAAAAACAATAGAGTAACAAGAGAAAATTTTGTGCTAATTTATATCTAGGTTTCAGAGACTGTCACAGATTGGGTTGCTTTAGAAGCCATTTCAAAGATTAGCATTTAGGGGATTTATTAAGGCATGTTCTTGGGATGAGCACCCGAGAAGGAAGGAGAAGAAGCTGGGTTTGGCAGGGTGAGAGGTTGCAATGCTGTCTCAGTGGAAACCTCAGGTTATCCTTTGGGGAATTCTGAAGATGGGATGACTCCTCAAAGCTCCACTAAGTTCGGTTGTGGGGTCTGGGCTTTTAAGTCCCCATGTCAACAAGTCACTTGATGTGGACTGCTCTGGGATGGGGGTGTGTTCTTGGACCAGGTGGCTCTCTTCATTTAAGGCAGTTTCCAAGGGGGTTGACAGTGGAGTGCTGGCTGCTGGCGGCACTCCCAATGCTGGAGTAATAAGTCCTTCATTCTTGAAGGGGGGCCTGAGAGACACATCACAGAGATGACAGGGTCCATCACAGACATTTCCCAGAGGAAATGAGGCCTGCTGGAGAAATCATAATGTGAAATTCATTCAACAAGTATTTTATGAAGCTCCTATGATATAATGGGCACTGTCTTAAGTTCTGGGAAATACAGCAGAGAATGAAGAAAAGTTTTTTAAGTGAAAGCTTATGTGGTGCCATGCCATGTGTTAAGCCCTTCACATGAATCATTTGATTCTTTCTTTCCAATGAACTTGTAAACTAGGTCCTATTATTATTTCTATTTTGTAGATGAGAAAATCAAGGTTCAGAGATTTTGCATCTTGCTCAGAGTCCTACAGCTAACAAGAGTTGGAAGTAGGATTTGAACCTAAAATTTTCATACTGCAGGTCCTTGGGTATAATTGACCTCAATTTAATAATTCCTCCTTATTGTGTGCATGTTAAACTATCAATATTTCTGTATTATTGATTCCTGGAAGTATAATTGTTGGGTCAAAGTGCATACGCATTTTAAAACGTTTGTAGACACTACCAAACTAATCTTTTTTTTAATGTATTTTTAAAATTTTATTTTATGTTATTATTATTATTGTTTTGGCTGAGTTTGGTCTTAGTTGCGGTATGTGGGATCTTTCGTTGTGACACTTGGGATCTTTTGTTGCAGCATGCGGGCTCCAGAGAGCGTGGGCTCTGTAGTTGCGGCATGTGGGCTCTCTAGTTGTGGTGTGCGAGCTCAGCAGTTTTGCTGCGTTGGCTTATTTGCCCTGCAGCATGTGGGATCTTAATTCCCTGACCAGGGATCGAACTCGCGTCCCCTGCATTGGAAGGTGGCTTCTTTACCGCTGGACCACCAAGGAAGTCCCCCAGACTAATCTTTAAACAGTACCAATTTATGTCTTCACTCAGGGTCTATGGAAATGCCCATTTGCTCACACCCTTATTAGATAAATTCTTAAAAATTAAGTAGTCAAAGCTGTCTCCTTCCTTTAAATTTTCTAGATTTTATGTGTTGCTTACAAAAACTTTTACTACCACAAGAATATTAAAACATTTTGTATTTTCATATATTAAATTACTTATAAATAATATATTCATTATAATTATAATATATAAAATATCACATTTTATAAATAATATATATTTAGATAATATTTATATATAATTCAATATATAATATATGTGAATTCATTATTTTCATATGTATGTATATAATTCATTGTTAAGTGATCTATTTGTAATTTATTTTTGTGAATAATGTGAGACAGAAATTTAATGTAATTCTTTTTCAAGTGGGTAGCTCAAACTCTATTGAGTTTTTCTGACATTTTAAATGTTACCTTTATTATG